AGCAACGTTCGCTTACTCGGCCTTGTCCTCTGACTTGCCGGGCTCCCTTAAGCGAATATGAGCTCTGGAGCAGTCTAACTCTCCAGCTACTTCGATCATACCTCTGCATGATCAAGTCCCTCCCATGGGACTCACTGATACTTGCATTCGAACTTTTTCCTTGGTGGAACCCAGCCCCCATATGCTGATGACCAAGGTTTTCATCCGATGCAAAATTCGATACACGCACGGAAGACCCGCCTCTGCGGTACCATGGCCTTCACTCCTTGAACTCATAGCCCTTCTTATCGTCGTGTTGTTCACCGAAGTGGAGCTCCCAGTAGCTCCCGATCATACCTCCATATGATCTAGTCCCTCCCGGGACTAAGTTGTGTGTATCGCATTGTCACGAACTGTTCTACCACGATCCGCTGCACCATGTCGCCTCCTGATGACATCTCCATTGCATTCTGATCCTTGTGGAATAAACTCGAATTGTGAACCCTCCAGGTGTGGCCTTTGCCAATACATCGCAGGGTCTCCTCCACCTTCGATTTTGTTCGCTTCTTTGGCAATCGACCTTCATCCACCCACTCTTGGGTCACACCTAGATGAAGCACCGCTCTAGGACAGTCCGTCGCCTAGTAGCTCCCGAAGTCCACCGACTTCACTGTAATTTGTGCACCATTGTCTGGATCCTGGGCCTCTGCCCCTACCAGCACAATCTCCGCTGCGCACTGCTTCCTTCATGGCAACTTGAATGGCAACACTGTGGCATATTCTTCAAGAGTACCCACCTCTGAGTCCTCTTGCCCCGTGTTAAGGCCTTCTGAACCCAACTTCGCCTCCGCAAATTGAGTCACCTTAGTTCCTCCATCAAATGCTCCTCCGAGATAAGGTGCATGTGCCTAGAAGCTCCTTTCATCTTTGGCACCATGCAAGATGAATCCGCTCCGTTAGAATAAAGGACCCATGGAACAACATGATCCTACTCTTGCCTCTGCAAGAGTTCATGTCCTTGACCTCTGTCTACGGAAAGCACTGTGCCTCTGTTCCATGTCCCAACTTCTATGCTGGCTCCCTTCATACGGCTTGGGTACTTCGCCAAGTTACACCCAAGTTGCTCCGCTCCTCGTTTTTGCATTGAGTCGATGGTGGCCCTCGCGCCCACCATTCCACGGGTCAGCCCTCCCTTGAGTTCGATCTCCATATCGACTCCAAGTGTGCCTTCATTTAAGTTGCTTTGGGTCACTCCCCCACTTGATCTCGCAATGCATCCACCAATGCATTCTCTCAAGCGAGATCATGCGACGACTCCTCGCCACTTGCTCAGTCCATCGAGCTTCGTGGAGTTGTTGTTTGTTGAGGTACTCCTCCTCAACATGTGAGGTCCGTCTCACATGATTCTCTCTCTGGAGAGCCGGGACTTATCCCTCTTGGATAACTATCCCGTTGGAGCAACATCTCTCTTCGTTTCGGAGACCACCATCCCCTTAGACTACTCCGATCTGCTGAACAAACTATGCATTGTTCTGCCTCCTGCAAACGCACTTGCTAGATTGCGACTCTCTGTCAATATAGTCCCCACTGCACCCCTCAAGGCCTAGCAACATGCTGAACTCGTTGCACACTTCAGCCTCCTACGGACGTATCCTTCACATGCCGAAGAGAAAATTTCAATGCTCCATGGCGCCGAGTTTCGGTCACCTTGGGATGGCCACAAATATTCCATCGTCCGCATACAAGCTCATGCATGAGTACCAAATTCTTCGAGTTAGCAATTCCCCTCACCTCTGTGAGCTTTGCATAACTCTTTTGGTCGTTGAGCAACTTATTCCACCTTGCATGGTCTCATCCTTTACCAAGCGTCTCGCTTACCTTGAGCACCAAAGTATAGTTGTCAACGTTGAGCCGTAGCTCAAACTCAGCCATCCCAACCTTTGTGCGCTCCAAATTCTTCCAAGCTTGTCTGTTTTCGTGGTGCCTCTTGCGCGAAGGGTTGGCCATTCCTCTGAATGCTAATATCAGATACCTGCTCCTCCGAGCGACTCCTTTTCCCTACATCTCCATGCCTGTTTTCCCCCAAACGATCACGCGTTTGCTGACTGCCCTCAATGCAGCCCCGCTAGGTCCCCCACGTTTGCATGCTAAGTGTTTCTATGAGTGCTTGTCCCGCTTTGATACCATCTGTCATGGACTTAGCTGGTTTTGCCTAAGTCGTGCGGCACCCTTGCATGTTCGTCCGCAAAGGTCAGCCTCCCCGAAGCCTCCCATTGTCCCTTAGGACCACCAAAAGAGAGAACGGGTTAAAGAGAACGCCTCAATCGGGATCCACAAGCAAACATCTCCGAAAAACACTTCATAGACAATGCAAATTATAAACAGACTTTACTAGCTCTGAACAGTGATACAACAAAAGGTAAAATGGTCCATTATAGACCAAAAATTTCTCGCACGTATCCACATGACACAATATTTATTTACAAGCTTAAAGAGGCCACCAACCCAACTAAAATGGGACTATTAAGTCTTCGGCCGCCCCTCTACATGCTGTACAAAGCATGAACATGCTAAAAAACACGAACATACATAAGCATTACATCAAACATCCTGTTTCAAAATTTGTCCGTGACAATATGGCGGACATCACTGCAACGCAGCATTATCCAATAATCATAGATTAACCAAGATTTTGGTGAGCAAAACTCCACCTAACAGAAATGTAGGAAGCAGCTCTCACTACCGAAAACTATTGAAGACAATCAACTGCAGCTTGTCGTAACCGGCAAGAACGCCAGAACCAGCTACGGCACGGAGTTTGTTCGCGCCAGCATCGTCGAACAGCTACTTGACAGCTTCTCCGGAGGTCATATGACACATAACATAACCACGTATACATTTACCTGAGTGGGAAAATAACAAATGACATCATTGGCTGTGTTCCCTCTCCACAAAGACAAAGCACCTTCATCTTTAATTGTTCCGGCAAAGGAGTCTGTACTTCCTTTTGTAAGGTTCAAAGAGGCGATCAGCAGTAGCACACGTTCATTAGTAGCTGCAGCCGTCTTTGAAACAACAGCAGAAACTCCTCCCATGGGGAAATCAATAGCAAAGCTCGCAACGCCTTTTCTGCTTGAGCATGGACAAAAATAGGTGAGGCAGATGTCACAATGGGAAGCTCATAATAACTGCACACCTGCATAGATGGCTTCCGAAACACCCCATATGTGTAGTTTACTATTGTGCAGTCGAATTCACACACAAAGACATTAATAGAGTTAAAGATTCTAAGATAAATGTTTTGATGCATGATTTTGAATTATTTTATATAAAACTAAAACAAATGGAGACATGTATACTCGTTTTATGGATATCGTTAATGATCTAAAAGTACTTGGTAAAAATTTTTCTAATTTTAAACTTGTTAATAAGATATTAAGATCTCTTCCAAAGAATTAGAATATTAAAGTAACTGTAATTCAAAAAGTTCAGAACTTGAACAATTTTTTGTTCGAAGAACTTATCGGATCTTTGATAACCTATGTAATAACATGTAATGTATATAAAGAACTTGAGAACAATCTTTCAAAAAACAATAAGGATTTGACATTTCAAACAATAGAATACCACTTGTGATAACTCAAGTGATGATGGTGATTTTGAACTCCTAACAAGAAATTTTAAAAAGTTCATAAAATAAGAATCAAAGAATAAAAATAAACTTAAAAAGAACACTATAAAAAATAAACTTCGAAAGTCACTGGGCGAAGAAATTAGAACCAGAACACAGATCAAGAATGTAATTGTTTCATGATTACGGAATGCAAACAACAGATCAAGAGAAGTGTCATCACTACAGAAGCTACAAGATTCAAGATCTAAAACGCCAACAAATCTAAGAAACCCAGGTCCCCAAAAGCCACATGTAGAAGGAAATTGCAAGCAATAACCACGAGACAACCTACAAACCTTACGGAAAAAGAGATCTGATTACATATACTAAATCGAACATATAGAACAAGACGGCCCTAAAAACATTGCAGACCTACCTGATCGAACAGTTTTCTACAGGCAAACAACAATTATTTATACCCACCTCATCCGGATCGATCAAATACAAACACGAAAAAAAAAGGAAATGATACCTTTGCCCAACGGATTGCTGAATCAAAGATCATAGCCATCCCTAGGAGAAAACATACATCTACCGAAACGAGAGCCACAGAAGTCGATCGATCCGCTCGGATCTTGTGATCGGTAACAACATAAATGAAAAGAATACGAAAAAAGAAGACAAGATTACTCGAAATCAATAAAGAATCCACATGGGATTAGGGTTTCACCCTTCCGAAGCGTCTCCCCCTTTCCCCTCTTTTCCTGGGAGACGAGACAGAGAGGTGATACGAAAAGCAACAGCGCGCGCGCGGAGGCGATTCTTCGTGATTATTTGAAGTACCGCACGTACGTGCGTCTGCGGAGATCATTGTATGCTCACCGTCAGATCTCATCAGAACACCCATAAGCGTCGGATCTTAAGTCCTCGTTACTTGTCGTTGGGTCAAGAATACCATGGAACGCATTGGTCTACCTATTCAATTACCGTCTTTCTTACCTGCCTTGTGAGTTCACATGACGCATGGAATCACAGCGGGGCCCATTTCTATATTGAATCACGAGGCGGGTAGGCCCATTTCTATCTTCCACGGACGAGAGTCGAACGCAACGGAAGACGGGAGGAACGCAAACGTTATAAACACCTTTTTAATCTGAGCCGTTCACTTTATTTGATCCATATACGGACGATTGAGATCAAATGAAGACTCGGATGGACGGTTGTGGACTAATGTCAGCAATTTGACATTTCATGATATAATTACTCGTAATTTTCGTCTAATTAATTAATTACCTGTAATTTCCTTCACCTCTATCGGATAAGGTGGCTTGCGATACTCTCAGTCTCAGCCACTCAGTGCCGTAACGGTGGATCACCAGGGGAAATCAGTAGAGGGTGAAGCCGTCGTCGTAGGAGACATGCCGCCCCCGTCGACACGGCGGCGCGTTCTCGTCGTACTCGGCGCAGCAGCTCCATCTCTTCTTCCAGTTGGCGCTCCCCGTGTTCGGCCTGTTCTCCTTCGCGTTCCACCTGTAGACGATCACGCCGCTTCTGTCGGTCCAATCCCCGTCGATCCCCTGATGCGGCGGCGCCAACGAGAACAGCCCTTTCTCCCCTGCACCCCACGAGCACCGAGGTCAAACCTCTGCAACGGAATAGTACAGATCCGATGCATGTACCTGTCGTGTGGCCATGGAAGGAGCAAGCTGTGGGGGAGTTGTCACTGTCTTGGTAAAGCTCTCCGCATCTGAGGCATCTCTTCCTCGATGGCGCTTCCTGTTGCGTCGAAAGGCGAGGAGAAGGCGCTGATCTGATTGATTTCCTGTAAGGTTTTGTGGACAAGAAGTGGATTCGAGGAAGGCCGCAGTATGGTGAAGCCATGGGAGATGCTTGCTCTTTGGGTAGAGAGAAGGGAAGGCTATCTATGGCAGAGGTGGCGTTGAGGGAAACGAATCATACTCTTGGGGCCTGGTCAACGATATTGACCATGACCGATTCCCATGCACATCAACAGCACGTAAAGCCCGCCTTCACATGACGCAGTGACCATGAAACCTCTAACCACCCCGACAAACCATGCGAACCACCGAAACGCCCTATAAATCGCCCCCTCCCCATCCGCCATTCCTCCTCAGGCTAGCAAAGAAGAAGGAGAACCCCAACCCGCCACAAAGAATAAGTCTCTCCCTCTCATCTCTTCCGCCGGTAGCAATGGAGATGACAAATATCGCCTGCATTGTCCTCGTCGCCGCTGCTTCGGCCGCCACAGCCCTGGCAGCTGAGGCCCCGGCTCCTGGTCCCGCCAGCGCGTCCTTCGCCATCACCCCCTCCATGGGAGCCGCCGTCGGTGCCGCCGCACTCTCCTTCTTTGCCTTCTACTTGCAGTAGCCTCGTGAAGAGAGAGAAAGATCGAGAGAAGCGTTTCTTGATTCCTTGTTTCCTCGTTTAATTCTCTACATTGGTTTGATACAAACGAATGATCGGATGTTATTGATTACAATGCAATATTAAGTTCATTGTCCCATTTGTTTGGAAGATAAGTTTGCCAACTTGAGTTGTACTTTCTCCAATATGTTTGGGCTTATTCTCGATCGCATATGCAAAAAGATTGCATATTTGATGATGTCGACCTACATATGTTATATATACTATGCATTATGACATATGCTTGATTTGAAGTCATATATGTTTGAATGGAATCAAAGAAAATACACTACTATATTATAGAAGATTGGTCGAATATGTTAGACTATATAACCGTATTTAATTAGGTAAGATATATTATGAAAATAATTAAATTTTAATTATAATTATTTACTAATAGAAATTAAGTCTAATTAAAATAAGATTCATTAAGAGATGTTCTTGATGGGAGAAACTTTCTTAATAATTTATCATATACCCTCTACTCTTGCTTATAAATAAACATGACTTTCAAGGGCTAAAGACGATGCAGTTGAAAAATTATAATTTCTTTCTTAACCTTCTTAAACCAACAATTTAAATAGTTATGTGAAAAGATAGGAATAGATGATAAGGAGAGTCTAGTTCTTCTGATGAGCAATTTATCCTGATGAGCACACATGATATCAAAAGGTATACATCGTAAAAATTGATCTAATATTATTTAATCTCAATCTTAACATTAAAAAAATTTTCGCATTGTATATAGCATATCATAAATTTTATAGTTACATGATACTCATCTGAAACATTTTTATAGAACAAACAATGCAAGATTAGACTTGTAGTGAGTTGGTGCGTCACTATGCTCGAGTGGATGAAATGAACTGCTGCATCATGTGTGCTCATCAGGATAAAGGATGTTAATTGGACCTTGAAATGAAATCCAAAAGGAGATTGTGCATGCTTTTGTTTTATTGTTTTGATGCAGGAAACAATGTCAACATTAACTATCTTTTTGACAATGATTTATATAGAAATAAGTGATTGTAAATTCTTGTTTCAGCTCATGGAACTGTGTTTTGCATCGACAACAACATACAAGTCTTTCTTTGTGTTACTTGTTTCTATTCAAATTTAATCTTTTTATTTTCAATCCATTCTATGAGGAAAAATGTTGAAACATATTATTTATCCTCCAAAAGTCATAAACCATAATTGTATAGACTTTCTTTGGGGTGTATATCCAAATAGTGAATCTATATTTTTTATATTAATTTAAGGTTATTTATTCTCAAATTCAACATATTTTCAGCATGGTTTCTAAAGCGAGTCTAACGATATAAATATTGTTTGCATTACCTTAAATTTTAACAATAAAGAGACAACAATATCCAAAAAGTAAATGTATAGTTTGTCATTTATTTTTTATATAAATTTAGTGATATATATATATATATATATATATATATATATATATATATATATATATATATATATA